CAGTCGCCTGGCTAAAAGCTTACCCCTTTGCTGTTCACCTATACAGACAAGCCAAGCGGTTAGGGAGGAGGGACTAGCGCCTTTCCTCATCCTTTCTCTCACCCCTTAACTCACAGGGACAGAACAGGGCTGGTTGACTGGCAGCATCCTGAGACCTTCTCTCCTTTCTCCCCTCACTGCCACCTCCCTCGTCAGGCCGTTGTCTAACAGATGCTTGTCTCACACACTACCCTATCCGAGCCCTCCTCCACATTAAAGTTGTCTTCCTGAAACCAAAATTAGACACCACCACCCCTCTTTCATAGGCTTCTGAGGTCTGCCAGCCACTTCCAGTACAAGGCCCGCAGCCTCCTTACAATTTCCAGCTTCTCACTACAGCTCATGCACGTCTTCCCACAGAGCGGAGCGGCGAGCCTGTGCCCTGTCAGAGACGTAGCTACTTTGCTCTGTGCCGTTTCCTGGACTCATCCTTCTTGGATACCACTGATGTTTATACATCCGTGTTCCGCACCAAATCGTAAGCACCCCAAAAGACTGGGGACTATTTCTCTCATGCACACAACAGTTGCTCAATAAATCTTTATCATACTGAAGTGACTGTTACCAAATTTCCTTCCTAACAAATTTCTCTTCAGTGTTAGGTCAGGGATGCTTATCCTATCGCAATGACATGCAGCTTTTCATTTGAAGGGAAAATGAGGCAGGATAGGAAACTGGGAAGATGAAGGGCTCATACCTGCGATCTCAGTACCAAGGAACCAGGAGTGCATACACAGTACATTTGGGGCCCAGGGGTGCTAGCAGGTGCAGTGATATTAAACTATATTCCTAGCCCACCCTGACTTTTTTCTTTCTTTCTTGAGACAGGGTCTTGTCAAATTACCCAAACTCCCCTGAACTAACTTTGTGGCCCAGGTAAGTCTCCAACTTATGATCCTGCTGCCTCAGCCTCTTGAGGAGCTGAGATTACAGACCTGAGTCACCAGGCCCAGTTAACAGCTCTATTTAAACATTGCGTAGCTCGCGGATTCATTCACTCAGCAGATGTCTGAGCTGGAAATTATCATACATATTAGAATGTGCGCTTTGGGGCTGGCGAGGTGGCTCAGTGGGTGAAGGTACTTGCAGCCTCGCCTGCCAAGCTATCTGAGTTCAGTCCCTGGAACCCACATGGTAGAAGGGGAGAACTCCAAGTTGTCTTTTAACCTCCACATCCAGGTGGTGGTATATGCACACACATACACTAAATAAATAAATAAATAAATATATAAAAACAAAAAGAGTATGAACTTAAGAGTTTTGTGGTGCTGGGGAATGAGCCTAGGGCCCCGTGCTTGCTAGGCTATCGTGCTACCACTGGGCTACATCTCTGGTCCCACGACCTTGAAGCTTGATGAAGGGAACAAAAATAGTGATAGCACACAGTTGTAGGGGGGAACCTCACAGTAGAAGGATGCTCTCAAGAACTACTCAAGACAATAGCATTGTAGAAGAACAAGGGTAAGGTAGGGCCTTAGCTTACTGACACACCACCTGACCAGGCGGTTATTTTTCAGAGCCTGTTTTCTCTTCTGAAAGCTGTGGATAAGGGAGAGAGACAGAAAAAGACAGAGAGAGAGAGAGAGAGAGAGAGAGAGAGAGAGAGAGAGAGAGAGAGAGAAAACACGTATACACATACATATACATGATTGCAGAAAGGGAGAACAAATAAACAAAGAGCAAGATAAGCTGGGCTTGGTGCCACACAGCCTCAATTCTAGCACTTGGGAGGCGGAGGCAAGCGGATCTTTTGGAGTTCGAGACCAGCCTTGTCTACATGGTAAATTCCGGTCAGCCAGGGCTACACAGTGAGGTCCTGTCTCAAAACCAAGCAAACCAACAGAACAAGAGAAGAAGCTGGGTTGTGACGGCCTACGCTTCTAATCCCACCTCTCTAAAAATTGTGTCTAGTCAGAGCTACATAGCAAGGGGTGGGGGTGGGGGCTGCAGCAAAACGAATATAAACCGGAACAAACTAAAATATGCACACCAAATTAAAATAAAACAACTGTATATACCAAACCGTGCCCTCCTGCCCTCTATCCTGTCCCGACAATAGTCCGTTCCAACTTACGCTGTGTCAGAATCACCAAGTTACCTCTGATGCCTTCTTCACATGATGTCACCAACCTGCTCGTCTATTTTATGACCTTCCTTGCATCCTGGCCTCCTTTCTCTCTCTCCCTTACTGAAACCTCACGCCTTCTCCACAGCACCTTGTACCTGAACTAGAAAGTGAGCTGCCCACCTCCCATACTCTATATTTCTACTCTCCCTAAAATTCAGACATCTGTTTGCTCGTTCCATATCATTCTCCAGTACCAATGATCTCAATTTCCCCCTCAGAGCCGAAGTCCAAACCATATAGCCTGACATTTAAGGCTTTTTGACATTTGGGCTCTGTTTTATTTACCTAAATTGATCTGGTCTCAGCATAAACCTGCAGTGTCAACTGGCCTGGCTTTCTCTCGTCTCCTGAACAAACACACATAAGCTCACGCACACAACTCATTCGTCTTGTTTCTCTCAGTCTACGGGCCAGAGTGGGGAGCAAGTGAGAAGCAATTACAGCGTGTTGGGAGAAGCGCCAGGTCCTGGCTGGGACGGCCCTCCTTCCTTTGCATCCTCCAGGACCTCACTCAAAGCACACCTACTCCATCAAGTCCCTGGAGCCAACTCTACCTTCCTCATCATTCTTTGTGCTCCTATATCTGTGCCTCTCAACCTTAAGGCATGCAGACACTTTGCCTCCCAGGCTCTAGGGTGGGGCCGTGAGAATTGACATGTTTAACAGGTCCTAAAGACAAGAATCTACAGGGCATCACTTTTGTCAGAAAGAGTACTTGATATTCTACTTCCTTTTCAAAGCCTTTAGTGTAGAGGTGTGTCTTCCATCTCTTTGTAGGTTAGACCCCCAGGCAATGGGAAATACCCTTTCAAATTCCAGATTTAACTGTGCAGCCCGAGTTTCATGCTTCTGATAGCCCCGTCAGGTAAGAAGAATGCTCATCTTTCTCACAGGCTGCTGAGGAGAGGAACAAAATAGCCACAGGGCAGAGGCTGGCTGGAATAGGGTCTGGATCAGAGCCATGTGCAACCACAGAGTGCCTCTGCTCAGGGTTCCCAAGGCTGGCGTGTGACCTCCAGCCCCTTGCTCTAGCTTCTAGCTGGGAGGGGAAGGCACTGACTAGCCCTGGACTTCTACTCTCTGCCAAGGGCTGGAGCACCTACATTGCATCTCGGGGAACCAAGGAAGTATGGCAACTGGTCCCCCAGTTCTAAATGTATTCAACAGGGTCCAGATTTTATGCTTCATTGTATAGCACAGAAGAGGCAGAAGTGGCCAGGACCGTTAAGGAGAAGGCAGTAATATTTACTGGGGATAAATTAACCCAGGGATTTCTTCTAGGCATCTCCGTCTACATGGTTTCTTTTAGTCCTCACACTTGTCTTGCAAAGGAGATCTCGTTTCCCATGTTTTAAAGAGAAGGCAATAGCCAACGAGAGTTATGTAAGTTGCCTAAGGCCACACGGCTGGAAAAAGGAAAGGCTAAAGGTGTTAGGTAGATCCCAGATTCCTGGCCTGTCTGACCCTAAAGTCCTTGCCGGCTGTATCACAGATCTGTGCAGTTGCACAGCACGTCACTGGAGTCCCAGGTCTCCACATGTCCCCTTCCCTGACATCTTGCCTTCTGTTGGCTCGGACTGAATTCTGGCTCTGGCCTGGCTCCCATACTCAGATTCCATAGTACTTCTGGGAAGTTACAGTGTACAGCAAAAAGGAGGGGTGAGAGGGGGAGACCAGGACTTCGGAGCTCCCAAAACAAGCTCGAGTGGCGTAAGCCAGCAAGTAACAAGAAAGTAGGGGTTTGTGGTTCTCCCATATCCAACTCCCTGAGTGAAAGGAAGTGTGGCTGACCTCCCTGACCCCAGCACGCCCCCACCTTTCCACACACTCGATGGACAAGCTTTGTGGACCCAGGCTGGAGCCACTGAGGCTAGCGCACAGAGATACACAGGATCAGATTCAAGGTGACACACAGAAGCATATGCAGAATCACAGTGCCACCAGTACCCAGACTCGCCCACAGAGGCGGCAGATGCACTCAGAGGTCAGCCAGCAACCCCACATGGACGGTAGCTGACTCAAGGCCACACTCCCAGTCAGCATAGGTAGAGGACACAACCTCCAGCAGCCACCTTAGGTACCTTGGCAATTGTTGGAAAAATTGTTGGGAAAAGACAGTGAGAGGTGTCTTTCCCCACGGCTGTGTGCCCCTCCACCTCGGAACCCTTGCAAGAGGGTTGCGGCTCCCCTAGGTTTATCATTTCTCAGACTGAGTTCAGTTCCCTTCTGGCCATGTTCTGAGGCAAGGGTGGGGGAGGGGCTAGAGTGGAGAGTTGGGGGTTGGGATAAACGAGGAGGAAGGGACTTTGGCGAAGTCAGAGTCTGTTGGGACTTGGAGGCTCCATGGCTGTTAGTAAGGCTCTCATTTTGCTGGCTTATGGCAAACCAGACTTGGGGAAAGGAGCTGATTTACCCAACTGGTGCCAGGATTCTTGGGTTCTCAAGAAGATGAAGGTGGGGATCTTAGATCCCCCCAGAACACTAGAGGATCGGGAGATGGAATATGAGACACTCTGGCCACTGACACCTGTTACAGTGTCCCTGTGCCTGGCCCTTCCCCAGGGTTGGGCACCACCACCGAAGTGCTTTCTTGGGGATGGGGGGATGGGGCAGTGGGAGTGAGAGGTGGGTAGTCAGTCCTGGGACTTGGCTGCCTGTGAAAGAGGGCGGGAAAGGGAAAGGCTACTTCCAGCCGGATCCTGGAGGAATAAGGGGGGCGTCATGCTGCACCCACCAAACAAGCCATCTATCTTAGCAGGGCAGCTTGCTTCATTCCTACCCTGTCACCCCTCTACCAAGCATGGAGGAGGGCTACTAGATCTGACCACCTTACCGTCTGTGGGGGGCTGCCCACGGTCATCTCCACATAGTAGCCCTGGCCGGACTTTCCCCTCAGGTTGTCCACCATCTCCACAAAGCTGCCTCTCCGGCCAGGCGGGTCTTCAGGTTCCTCGTCGATCTCCCGGGGCAGCCTCAGGCCCAGGGGTGGACCTGCCAGGCCGCTGCGAAGGGGCAGCCGGATGCCGAGATGGGTTCCCTGGGCAGGTAGCATTCCCCAGCCCACCCATAGTAGAAGCCAGTGCAGCGCCGGGGCCATGGTGAGCCCGGGCCTTGTGGCTCCGGTTGGCGACTGTCCCTCTTGCCTGCCCCTAAGTCTGGGTGGTGGTGGCTTCTCTCAGGAGAGCGGCCTCGGGGACATCAGGACTGCAGAGTCTGTAGGCCCCTCGCTCAGTTCCCGGTCCAGGCGGCGGAGAGTGGGCAGGAGAAATCCGTAGCGCACTAGAGGAGAGGACGATGGCGATCCGGGGGACCCAGCTATATCTGTACGGCGACCGCCAGCCTCAGCGGGGGGATCGGGCCCCTTGTGGTGCTGGGAGGGGCGGGCATGGCTATCCGAGCCCGCAGCTTTCGGGGTCTTCCAGGCAGACTTTGCAGCTTGGGGACCGACGGGGACTCCCGGCTCCTGCGGCTGCGTCGGCTGCTCAGGCCACCATAATCCAGCTCCCAGCTCCCAGCACCTAGGCAGGCTGGGGAGGCGGAAAGGCTTGTGGCGGTGGCTGTCAAAGCCAAAGGGTTTTTGCTTTTCCCTGGGATCTCTGGGAAGTGTAGTCTTCCCATGGCAGGCAGCCCAGCTTCCGGGGCTGAAAGGGGTCTGGGATGCCCTCTGCCGAGATGGAGTTCACTCTGCAAGACCCTAGCGGAAAGCATTTCCATTGCACTGGCAGAGCAAGAAGGAACCAATATCACACACCTCTCACCTGCTAATCTATCTATCTATCTATCTATCTATCTATCTTTCTTTCTTTCTTTCTTTCTTTCTTTCTTTCTTTCTTTCTTTCTTTTTTTTTTGGGGGGGGCACAGGGTCCTGCAAACATACTGTGCAGTCTAGGCTAGCTTCAACTTTGATGCAATTCTCCTGCCTCAGCTTCCTGAGTCAACACTGATTAACACCCCTAGCCCCGTGCGTACCCTATCATGCCAGCCACTTTACCCTTGCACAGGGGCAGAAAAAGATGCGCAGATCTCAAAAAAGATTAACCAGGGAGAACTGTAATTCTTGCCAACGGTGTTAAGAATTTGGGGGTATACCCCCAGAAGTGGAGCCACATGCCTTTAATCCCAGCACACGGGAGACAGTAGCAGGAGAATCTCTGTAAATTCGAGGACAGTTTGGTCTACATAGGCAATTCCAGGACAGTCAAGATTGCATTAAAGAAACCCTGCCTCAAAAAAGAAACAAAAAAAAAAATGGGGAATCTAGAAGAGGTGACATTTAATCTAAACTTTAAAATTGGAAATATTTTAAGGAGCAGAGTCTGGAGGAGCAAGGTTAAAGGGATGAGAGTATGCCAGTCACCAAACCATCACCAGGATCGGACAGGGAGACCTTTTCTGTTCAGAGCATTCAATCTGCTCCCGCTATGAGGTGGCTGCCTCTTCTATGTCTGAATTCATCTGTGCCTTTGATGGTTTCTTGATATGAATCCTCATGACCCACCTGATTACTGCCCACCAGTCAGACTGAGGATCAGTTGCTTTGGAAAGCTCTCAAGTGTCAGCGCTCCGAGGCATACCAACATACTCGTTGAGAAGAGCGTGAGATGAAGGGTGGTGTGGCCCTGATAGCTTAAAATTGTGTGACTATGCCATCTTACCGTTTATCAGAGATGGAAAGCCCTCGATAAAATCCAGCAGTCATTCTGATTAAAAAAAAAAAGTAAACTAGAAGGAAACATTTTAAATAAGGTAGCTGAGGGCTGGGGGTGTGGCTCGGTGGGCTGGGGGTGTGGCTCGATGGTAAAGTACCTAATTACAGCAGGTGTAAAACTCTAAATGAAACCTCAGCACCTATAACAGTCCTTTGATAAAAGATTATTAATATAGATTTATATTTATTTAAATAGGGTCTTCATGACTCTCTGAGTGTGGAAGGAGCGATTGTTGGCGCTTCTGCCCTGATTTTACAAGAACTCTGAAAAATTGGCTTTAAAAACGAAAGAGGGGGAACGGTACCCCCCAGAAGGAGTTCCCCGGAAATATTCTCCATCATGCCTTGTTCACTTTTAACTCTCTAAAACTGAAAGTTTATGGCAAATCTGCTGCTGACTGCCTCTGGCACCACTGAGACCAACCAAAACTATGCCACAGATATGGGGAAGGACCCTCTTACCCTTAAAGGGAATGGCTCAGACCCAGTTCCCTTACGGGGCCAAGGATTGACATGCCCGTTTGATACCACAGAAGGCGCAGCTAACCGGCTACCAAAAAGATTAATGAAATAAATAAATACCCCCACAAAGCCAGGCCCAACCATAAATAAGATGAATAACAATTTACATCCAGGGAAGAGAAATCTCCCTGAGAATTCCCTTCTTTTTCCTTTCTGGGTAAAAATGAATCACCCGTAATGTCTGCTGTTAGAAGTTGTAAACCAGATGCTGGCCTCCGAACTTATACTACTCAGACCTTTGAAGGGCCACTGACAAGAACATCAAACAGCTAGAGATTGACATCACTAATCTGAAGAAATCCCTCGTTTCGCTGTCTGAAGCGACCTCCAAAAATCACAAAGATTCTTATTGGACCTGATTTACTCTATAACAATAGAAAAGGCTGTGTACAGCTCTTGACTGTGTACAGCCCTTAAAGAAGAATGTTGCCTTTACATAGACAAGACAGGGAGGGTTAAAGAGAGCATGAAATAGGTCAGTAAAGGCCCTGAGAAAAATCAGAGAGAGAAAGAGACAGATGAATGCTGGTACAAGAATTGTTTTTCAACCTCTCCAGGGTTGTCAACCCTACTTCCTCCCATCTTGGGACCATTATTTGGGTTCTTTTTGCTTTTTTTCTGCTGGTCCCTGGGCCTCAAATAGGCTGACTAACTCTGTGAAACAACAGATAAATAATTTGGTAGCAAAACCTACTCAGATACATTATCATAAGTTAGCTATGGAGGACCACGAGATTCAAGATGAGGTTGTTACTTTATACAGGGTGCTCCCAAAACCCATCTCCACCCAACCTAAAAGAGGACACTTCTGCCCCTAGACCAAGCAGAGAGGGACCACCCAGAACCCCCTCTGACTGGCGATCTGAATTCTTGCTTAGGCTTCGAGGCTAAGCACTACAAGGGAATATAAATAAAAGTTAAAAATATCTCTCTGGGTTCCCTGAGGGACAAGCCTGACTGCATAGGGGTTGATGTCAAAAGTATCCCCTCTCCAGGAAAAAGACATTGGGATGGGTATGGCCCTCATGCCTCACTGAACAACGACAGGGGGACCGGAGCCATTACAAGGTCCCCTTCAATTACTGGAGGTCAGGCCTCTATCCCCGCCTTCGCAAGACTAGAATCGCCACAGCCCTTATATACTTAGAGGAGGGAGGAGATATCAGAGGCAGCCCTGATTATTCACTGAAGGCCTAAAACCAGCCATAGGCCTAAAATCAGTAATAAGCCTGTCATACATGTATACTAACACCAAGTCTTGGGTCTCAGTGAAAAAACATTGAAACAGATGGCTATAAGCTATTGTAAACAGGCAGCTTTTGTGGAAATTTACAAGCCTGAGTAGTCATAGACCTTGTAAATAGGTAGCCTTGGCAGACAATAACAACTTAGATAAGGACAAGTGAGTCATAGGCAGAGTCATAGTGACCTGTCCCCTGAACCTTCACCCTGCTGATACCTGGTTCTGAAAGATATCTGTATTCCCCCTGAACACCCACACTCCAGTGTCATCCCCTTCCCCACATCCTGCCTTTCTGTGTTTATAACCCCTGTGTGAATGAATTACGATTTGAGAAAAAATAATTTAAAAAAAGAAAAAAAAAAAAACCTCAGCACCCAAGAAGGAGAAAACAGGGAAGTGTTATCAGTGAAGTTAATCAAGAAAGAGAAGGTCACTATTCTCACTTGCTCTTTCCGAGATTTCATTCTGTAGCCCTGGCTGACCTGCAACTCGCTCTGGAGCCTTGGCTGGCCTCAAGCCTTCAGCAACTCTCCTGCTTCTGCCTTCCGAGCATCAGGTGTGATTACAGGTGTGAGCCACCATGTCTGGCATCCTCAGCCCTCTCCCTTACCGAGTCTACATAGCCTGGCCAACTCCGTAGGCGAGAAAATTTGATCTCAGCATTTGGGAGGTGCAGAGAGGAGGGCCAGGAGTTCATGGCCAATGTTAGCTACATATAATCAAGCAAGGCCTTCTAGTGAAGCTTGTATCCCCAGCTATGTGGGAGACTAAGGCAGGAGGATCTAGAGAGAGTTCAAGACTAGCCTGGGCTATAGAATGAACTCAAGGCTAGTCTGATTTAGCAAGACTCTATCTCAATGAAATGAAATGAAATGAAATAAAATAAAATCCTGGGCTGTAGTTCAGTGGTAGAACACCTACCTGACATACATAAAGGCCTGACTTTGAGCCCCAACACCAAAAACAATAATGGCAATAAATAGATTAATATATATGTGGGAGTGGGGTATGTATAAAGATAGCATTCATTTTAGAGAAAAATAGATGCATTCTTTAATAACTGCCATTGGGACAGTTACAGTCCATATGGAAGAAGAGAATGCCAAATCCACATCTCACCCAAAAACTAAGCTTCAGATATACTAAGGAGCTTAACGTTAAAATTGAAGTAGAGGGGGGCTGGAGAGATGGCTCAGTGGTTAAGAGCACTGACTGCTCTTCTAGAGGTCCTGAGTTCAAATCCCAGCAACCACATGGTGGCTCACAACCATCTGTAATGAGATTTGATGCCCTCTTCTGGTGTGTCTGAAGACAGCTACAGTGTACTCATATAAATGAAATAAATAAATCTTTAAAAAAAAAATTGAAGTAGAGGAAAAATAGAATATTCTCACTATATTAAATTAAAGAAAACCTCCTCAATACAACCCAAGGGGAGGGGAACGCACAACTGGACAGTTTCCCCTTAAATATGCAGCGTGTCTGTAGAACCGGAAGCACCCTCAGCATCCTGGCTCTCCCGCGCATATGGAGCTGTGGAAACACAGCTGGGGTGCTAGGCAAACGAAGTGCAGAGCACTAAGCTGTGTTTACCCTGAACTGCCACTGTCAGGTGCTGGGCTCCAGCGAAGTACTGACACACTGTTCAGGGGGTGGGAAAATGCAGCCTAGGATGTGGGAGGCCGAAGTTGGGGTTCCCTGATTCCCAGGCATCCAGTCTCCGCTGGAAAACTGCACAGCGGAGTTGGGAACAGAGTTGGGGCCTTGTGGGCTGAGGATGAAGTCAAGCCTGGGGCTGGGGGAATGGGAACTCTGGTTTAGCTCGTTTGGGATTGACCTTAGCTTAGTGGAGGGTTGTCTGGGAGCGCAGAAGGACCTTCTGCAAGAGGGCTCTGTAGATGAAGGCTTCCTCCATGTTTCCCATGGTGGTTCTCGATGAAAGAGACAGTCCTTGGTTCTAAACTGTTTATTGATTGTTCATTGTGGAAAATGGGACCATACCAACTTCTTAGGGTGGACCAGAGATTAAATACCTTTTGCAGGGAGGAATGTTCATGAAGAAAAGCTTATTGGCTAAACGTACAGGGCCTCATTAACATGGAGAACTAGATAC